AATAATTAGAATGTAAACGGCCGTCATCTCAGCCTAGGAAATATGAGCTCATTTTTCAGGTAACATTGTTTGTTGAAGGGCCGGAAAAGCCAGCATTAGCATGGTAATAAGGCAACATAATATAAGCCAAGGTAATAAGGCAACAACAGCCCACTGGTAATTGACGGAAAAACTTTTACTCATGTATTCAGTTCTCATCGATAGCGTATATACATGTCCCCTAGTGATTCTTGATTGTAAGCAGAATTCTTTGATTCAATGTAAAAATTCGGTACAAATTAATTCAATCAACCACCATCACCCCACCCCCACCGCCTCCCTCCCGATATTTTTGTTATTTTAGTTTTCAAAAATTATTTTGTACCTATGCAGTGAATATTTTTAAATTATTTATTCTACCAAGCACCTCGTATCCTCGAAAAGTTGCAAAATTCACAGGTTCAGTCACAACTCACTCACTAATAACAGAACTCTTTCAAATTACTGATTATTTTGGACGAAACCTCATAATTGCATCAAATTTTATAAATATTAACTTTTGATACACAAACTTACTGCATGCCCGTACTGCACGAGATCATAAACAGAGCTCTTTTCAATAATGGGGTGTCGGGGTTTCGTTATTAGCTGTCGAAGCTCCCAATACTGGTCGTGACTTACCCGTCAGGCCGGAGATGGGCTCCGCACTTCACTGCGTCTCTAAACTTAATTAACATCTGGACTTCATCCAGAGCTTCGTATCGAAATATGTGTAAGATGGCTGGCCTAAATTTGCTTCTCACGATCTTTTAGCTGATTATATCCGCTTTTTAGTGTTAGTTTTGTTGTAAAAGCCAAATTAGACTAATCTCGACTAATCACGAATTAAATTTTATTCATCAGAATTAAAGTGTTATAAATATTTATTCTTGGGTTACTATAGTTTTTAAATATTAACAAAAAAAGAGCCGTGAAGTGCCTTGGGTAGAAGATTTTGAACATGACACTCTGTGTGTAATTCACTTGTTTATTATTGAGAACTTTAATGCATAATACCGCATTCCGTTGCAGAAAATTTCCTTCAGTTCATTTACTTAATTCATCACGTCGACGTATTTATTAGAAATATACTTCAAATAAGCTCAATATCCCCTAATTATTGACGTCATGCGTTGATGGCATGCGCGCGCTGGCTAAGTTAAGGTCAATTATGGAGTTCAGGCATCCAGTACATCGTTATATCCATCCCCAACGATACCGATTAGCCCATTTTTAAAGCTTTAATCTCCAGGGGCCATACTTTCAAAATTCGCTGAATGAACGTAGGTACTTACGCTCTATTTTCCTGTCTATGATTGGTGGATTTTGCTTGTAAGGCCGTCAATGATTGGCTCATGAACTTACGATCTCTTAACTTTTTTTGAAAGTATGGGCTCCGGAGTCAGAGCCTCAAGCTAAAGCGCCTCTTTAAGGGTTTACCGAGTATTTATTCTCTAATCATGATCATTTGGGAAAGAGTCCATCATGCTGGTCCTCCGTGCTAACCCCCGATTCGTACAGTACGCAGTTTACCCTAAAAGTAATTTTCGGAATTGCGTGCAACCAAAGCTTCCAGTTGGGGCTCTTACTATGAATTTTGTAATGAACTCTGGTCTCTTTGTGATAGTTGGATTTAAGAACTTGAGAACAATTATCCAGGCATTTATGTTACCGACAAAAAAATTATCTCAGCATGCAGTGTCTTCCCTGTGGCTTCATTTTCTGTGCGCACTCGCTTCTGTATCAATTACGTAACTAATGATGAGACCGTCGGTCCAGCGTACGCTGTGCTGTTAGCAGGTACCTGGACCTTCTAATATATCCCGCCATCGGCTCCTCTGACCAATTACTGCCAATTACAAAAGCGTGATTTGGCTATTCTCGAGACGCCAATCATATTTTGAGCGTCGATGACATGAGAGACAACCAAGCTGGATTTTCGTTCGCCAGAGAAAGCGCTCTCAAAGAGTCCGCCGATTGAAAGATACGATATCTCCATAGGCATCAAATGCCAAAGATTTTTATTTCCAGTCCATAGCCTACCTTGACAATTTTCTCATAAAGATATATTTTTGTATTTGTTCAAATATTGTACGGATGCAGTTCTTAATCATGAGTACTGCCTCATGTCACTAAATATTTTCTAGAATGAAATAGCTCTGAAGTATACGCGTTTTCCTGCCGCTTAAAAAACTGGCAGGATGGTATCGTGTGTGGCAGAGCGAAGCTTCTTCAGCAACGATCGCCACGTCATGGTCGAAGCATTAAAACAACGAACAGGACAATTACTTCAGCCATCGGACGCTTTCAAGAGCAGAGTATCTCGATTGCGTCGCAGCATCGCTTTGTCAAATTGACGTCGTGTTGCCAGACGTGTGAAGTTTAATGTTCGTAACGCGCTATGCAAACGAGATTCTTGTGATGAATTATTGCTGCCGATGGGTTTACACTCATTTGCACGCATGAATGAAGTCCAAGTTCTATATTATCAAGATCCATGCAGGTTTACCTGTCCATGCTCGGCAGTTTGCAACTTCGTGTTTGAGGAGTGTCTGAATAAAGCAAGTCAATTAGTACCATGATTTGAATGCATAATTTAAATTGCGATTTGGAATATTTGAATGAATAGCTGCGTAGATACGATTATAATGCGCAGGTTTAAAATAAATTGTAAGTTTATCTGCCCATGAGAGCAACAGAAGCAATACGACGATAAAATACCTAAGATAACATTGAACAATCACACATTTGTTAATTCAACTTCCAAAAGTTAGTTTAGTACTTTGATTCCAAGAAGCAATTTCTGAACTGTTCCTACAGTAGCTCTCTAAAGTTATGAATTGAACCGACGTTAAAACGTTAATTTTTGCATCATTTTGTTTCTGTGCCACTTCCAGACAGTTGTTGCTCGGAATTCCTCCTTCCTTCCTTGAGATTTTCTTTAGACAAAGGTTTGATTAAAAAATACTTGAAACTCAAGACTCAAGCTCACATAATAACACTTTATTATGCTGAAAAAAAATCCATTGTTTCTATTAACCAGTAGAAAATTTCAGGACCCGCAATCATCTTAATAACCTTACTATTCATTTAAAATTGAGAATTTTATGATTCTGCAGAACCCGTTCAAACCTACTAAGTACGGAAATCCCATTGAAAACCAGTTTTTAAATATAACGAAAAGTTGCGCATCTTATTTTGAAATGAAATTTTCTTTTACCGAATCAAATATTATTTTTCAATCATTTTATCTAATCATGCCAGAAATTTTTCAATGCTAGATTGACTCTCATTTACAAAAAATTGTCTACATTGGTAATATCTCGACACGATAAGTATCGTGTATACGCGCTCGAACAACCCCTATACTCGTATATTTCTAGCGCCAGGCTCTAAACAAATTAACAAACACATTGACAAACATTCAATAAATATAAATCATTTTCATTCATAATAAATAAAAATTACTTTATTCCTCGATTTTTGAGCGTAGGACGAATGCCAATGCAAATACTGGAAGCAATTGTCAGGACTCGAGACAAATAGAGGATGTCACGGGAGCCATGGCAGCATGTGTGGCAGTACAGACCTGGCTACGAGGTGTCGGTGTAATCGATGGCATTTGTCGCGCGACATCCGCGGTGCGCATGTTCCGTGCTCCGTGGGTGGATGTTACTGAGATTTCTTACCATCCTCTGACTCTTTTATTATTAGAATATAGGTAGTTAGAAAAATAGTGGAATTTATTTAGCCTAAAATGCTTGAAAACAATGGTCTGATAGTGATTGCTCCGTTCAATCGTTATTTGATTACTCGTTATGCATTTCCATACCTCAGTGAGAAAACGAAAGGCAGTTATTCATGTAGCAAATCAAGACTGAATATGATGAGTAAAAAGTTTTCTGCTTTATTAGAAATTTCGCGAATCTTTTGACGACTCATTTTTTTTAATCGTGAATTAATTTTGTTTACGTTAACTCTCGCATCGCAATTTTAAATTGCAATTTTAGCATCGCACTGCATTCTGAAACCTGGTCCAATTTACACCTTTTTTACTTATTCTGTGTATTTATATCTTCACCTCCGGTTAATGAAAGATTATAATACAGAGCGCAAACTTTAACCTTAATGTCAAATGCAGGTTGCGTCGTGAGATAGTTTCTTCTAACTCGAGACAAATAGAAGAGACAAAAAAATTGTATCTGAAATATGATGGCGGCGAACCGTAGAGTTTTTTGTGTGCCTGACGACTGGCTACAATTCTACGACCGTTGGATATACTAAAATTTAGTTTTCGATACGACCAAGCTAATTTGTTTATGCTTATGAACGAACCTTCAACACTTCATTTTTTGATTAGGTTCAGGTGTTGGCTACCTTGTTCGTACAAATTCTTTTATTTGCAATTTTTTTACATATTTGAAGAGAACAATTCAATAATTATGTAACAACCGAGAATTGTTTCATTTGTATACAGTCTCGTAAAAATGCTTGTTAGCTCATTGTTAATACAACCAAAACTCGTTCCTACATCAAAGGATGGAAAAATGATACACTTTTAAAATTTTTTACTGAAAATCTACGGATATGGCGTATCTTAACTACAAATTTCTCACTCAACGAAAAATTCTTATTCCCTAATCTTAAAAGATAATCTTGTACTGCTTTAGCAAACAAATGATATGCAAATAGATCTAAGTATTAATTTAAAAATTTGTTCTGATGCGAAAAGTTTTCAAATTTTGATTTGGAGGAAAAAACTACCCGTAATCCAGTATCCATTGACCAAGTTAAATTTTACAAACGATGATCAATTGTTTCTTAGAAAGTGTTATGATTCAAGAATTTAGTCATTATTCAATATAGAATATGAAATTCATTTTTTTGTCTGAAAGCAAAAGTAAATACATATTGAAACAAAAAAAGTTTGAAATAGCCGTGACACAATTTAGAATTTGAAATGAGAACGGTACATGCGATGCAAAAGGACATTCACTCTCTTAGGTGCTATAGGTACCCCTCACACTGTTATGGTTGATATCAATAGACAGTTTTGAATGATCTTTGAGCAGCAGCTTAATTGTATTGGCTGATGTTGAACTACTTTGTCTGCCGGAAGTCCTTAAATCCAATGCTATTTCTTGTCGTTGGGTTTCTTCAACAATGTTTTCATCGAGTCTATTATACTTTTCTTTGGATATTATCTCTTTTGTCAGAATTTCATCATTGGAATTAGAAATTTGACTCTGAGGCAACTGCTGTCGTAAAATTTCCTGAGCTTGTCGATAGTGTAACTGAGCCACCAAGTTACTGAAAGCTACAGACTGAATACTTAGCGGGGACGGCATTGAATATCCACGCGAAATTGAGTTGTGTAGGGGCCTGTGTATGTCGTAAAGAGACGGATACGGCACTAGACTTGGACGAGAATCGATTAAATCTCTTGGGAATGAAAAACAGTTTGTTGATGGCACAGAAGCTGGTAGAGTATCTGGAAGTGGATTTGCTTTCCGAGGCGATTCTAGCCTCGGTGATAGAGATTCTTTGGGATGTTGAGACTTGTGCACCGCAAGCGTTCTGGCCTGACAAAAACCTTTGCCACAAACACTGCATTTGAAAGGCTTGTCTTTACTGTGGATGTATTTGTGATCACGGAGATGGTCTTGTCTTCTGAAGGCCTTGCCACAAATATCACAAGGGAAAGGTCGCTCGTCCGTGTGTGTGCGCTCGTGAATTAAGAGGTTGTAGCTTTTTGTGAACTCTCTGCTACAAAATCGGCAAATGTAACGCTTTTTAGGCCGACTCATTCTGCCATTGGAACTGAACAAAAACTTTCCTATGCTAGTATCCCAGGAAGATTGCAGACCATACGGCTTCGTGGAAGAGACCTTGGAGCGAGTTCTTAACAAGCAATCATCGGGCTTTCGTTCGAACTTTCCATCACTTGACTGAGATCTTCTGGAAGAAGAACGCAAGTCTCTTGCAGCTGTAGCCAAATAATCAATAGAATCACTTAATGGTGTCGAAGGACTTGATAAATTTACTGAATTTGGACACATACGCGAGTCTGAAAAGACAAAAATTGATAAATTATTAATTGTCAGGATGCATACTGTATACCAACATTTGAGGACATTTAGAGTGTGTGAGCCTCGGATATATGTATATGTACATACTTTCGTTCTTACAGTGTTAGATTCAACTGCGAATGAGGCATGAGTGAATCCAACGATTAACATATCACACAAGCTCTGAAAATCCCTTGGTATTTTCACCGAGTTTCAAATGCATCAGCAATCATAAATCAGTGATTATCGCTTGACCGGTATCAACACTTCTATTTATGTTGCACAGGGTTGCCCAGTATTTCCAATACGATTTTTATCCCCGATAAACACCTTGTAATCTGCTAGGAATTGAGTGAAACGACTAAGCCCTGCATCGAAGATCCAACTATACTTGAATTTAGGATACTGTTAACCTTGATGCAGTTATCCAGAAACAATAAACTCCGTAAATGCATTAGAAACATTTCTGGGATCTGGAAAATTTCGACTCGGCCTTCGATTCAGGGTCGGTACAAGTTACCTGGAGATGGCTAAGAATTTCGTTTCTGATGATTTTTTTAGGATTGAACTTGACACTGCGAATTAAGTTTAAAATTGGACGTTAATCGCTTGCAATTTGCGTTTTTGGTTCTGCGAAAGATTAATCGGGGTTTGAAAATAGGAGAAGAAAACTGACTGGAAAAAGCGGGAATGTGAATTCCTTCCTGTACCTACTCTTTGAATTTTTAATTCAAGGGAGATATGATCTGATAACAATTGCTTAAATCAGCAATTGCTTAAATCGTCTTATCGTCCTTTACTTCGCTAATGTGCGCTTCATATTAAAAATTGCAACAATCTTCTGCCGTATAAATTGGGCTCGATACATACCTGTTGCTATTTCACTAAAATAATTACATTTTTTTAATTTTCCAATTTAGGACTAGCTAGTTTTTTAAACAAGTTTCACCCAATATTCGTGAACCTAAAATTAAAAATAATTCTAAGGTGATTTAAATTCGAGTAAAGTTTTCTGCAATTATCGAACCAAAAATCTTCCCAGATTTTCTAATTTCACATTTCTACTTTTTTATCCGTTTGTCATTTTTCGGTTCTCAAAAATTTCTTTTCAAAAAGTACATGCAAAATACTAGAGAGCTTATCATTTTCGCCCAATAGATCAAATTGAGTGGGCACATAATAAATCAAATTGAGTGGGCCCATTGCGTACTCCCGTAATAGGTAGGAGCTCTTCTTCCTCAGTTAACATTAATTTTCTTCACCTTGAATGGTCCGTCAAAGAATACATTAACACCTGAAGTAATTTCAGCAGAGCTATTGATAAGAGGCTCCTGAGCAAGCTCAGTAAGACAACGACTTTAAGACGTCACCTTTTGACCCGTCATTATTCTTGCTTCTCCTGTCTTGCCAGTCGCGCAGAGGATTTCTCCTCTGCACTGAAACTGGCGGGCACTACCATCAACTGATTCCTGGTCATGAATATGCATTGTGCCATGAATCCGACATGTAATGGTCTTCAAATGTTATGAACAGGGGCTAACTCAAATTTTTTTTCGTTTTGGTTCTTGGCTTTCTCGATTTAGTTCTTTATCCCAGTACACTAATTCGCGAAGGCTTAATTTGGAGTATCAATTTTATTCAGTTAAGTTAAAACTACCAGCAATGACAAAAACTAAATGTTAATTTGTAAGTAAAAATATATTCTTTATCTTTAACTTTTAATTAAAATTAAGTTCTTCATCTTTATGATTTGAATTTATATTGTAACTTTAGACACTGGAACAAGTTGGCGATGTTAAAACCCAAAAATTAGGTCATCCCGCTGTCACTTTCAGAACGAATGCAGTGAAGCAAATCCAGCAAAAGGTCTTTCCATTGAATGCACAAGCTACCTGCCGGTGGGGGTGCAGAGGTGGCCTTCGGACTGGCCTCCTTTGTGTCGGTGGGAAGTGGAGTACCCATCACTTGAGTCGGCAGCCAGCGATACTCTGACGTAGAGATGCTCGGCACTCAACAAAGTTTTCTCACGCCAACCAACCGTTATGGATTGCCAGAAGTCGGTAGTGTTTTCAGGAGTCTTGGAACGTATACCCGACCTGGCACGAGGAAATAAAAAGAAAGTGAGTTATGGAGACCGTGGCAGCGCAAAATAAGAGATGCTCCACTTGACAGGTCTTTGTTTAGCGAGCGGTGAAGTCATGCCGACATTGCATGCGTGTGTTCCCACCTTACTCACGCGAGTGCTGAGTTATGTGAGACTAGTCGTCTTGACTGCATCAGGCACCAAAGGGAATGAAACTATAACTGCATTCTTACAACTAAATGCTAATATATCAATATCTGTCTTATGAGTGCTATGTTCATCTGTGTAGGCGAAACTTTTAATATTCGTGCGATTATCGGAAATATTGCATTCCGGTATTTATCAATTAATTCAACATTACTTTGGTGCCACTTACTCTGATCACTCAAATGTGTCTCTGATCTCAAAAAATAGTCATTTATGTATTAATGAAAATGTAGGTAAGTTAAGGCAGAAGCGGACTATTACTCACACTTTGCATGAACTACTCAGTCATGATGATGTGAAAAAAAACACAGCAAAATAAATGATCAAATTCTAACGCAGGAATTTAATGATAATACACTGTATTTAAATTTGGAATCCAATGATTTTAATCATATTTTTTGCTTAAAACGTGCTCCTGTAAATTTAAATCGCACTTAACAGGAGTTGAATTACGTAAACCCTAATATTTGTTTCAAGTTGAAGCTATGAAATAATCACAAAAGCCATCTGCCAAATAGTACTGAACTCACAGTCTCCGCTCTGTTGCACAGAGCAGCAGGTCGCGCTGCTTTAAGAATATCCCAAGACGGGCTGAGCTTCAGTGTTCGTCTCGAATGAATTTGATGACCCGAATTCCCAGGTCGAATTTATGGCAAACGTGTTCTAGGGCCGCGCTTCTGCAGCGGTCACTCGACTGGATCATCAGCTCGAGGCTGCAGCTTTTCTCACGTTATTTTAGGCTTAGCGTTGTCTTGCTGAAATTATTCCATCTCGCTTAATTATGTAATTTCTGTACAAAAAGTTAATCAGATAAAGGAAGGTTAATTCTCATTAGCAATGAAATTTTTGCATGCGTGATACGCGTGTTGGAGGACTGTGAAGACAAAGCGGTAAAATATTCCTAAGCTCTTACTTCTATTTAGCCTTAGACGAACGAAATTGAACGATGATAGTTAATTCGATAGTTTTCCATCAACGATACATTTTTTTACGATTTATTACTACCACATGAATTTTCTAGATAAAAACTTAAATTAACTTGTGTGATACCACCATTGTTCGCCAATGAGAATTGTTCAGCCTTCTTATGACGGCAATATTCAATAAAAAAGGTGTCAAGCGTGCAGTAGTCTTTGCATCATTATTTCATGAATTAATTCAACTGCAAAACCTATACTCGTAATCTTTTGAATGGAATTTACAGAAACTTCACACGTCTTCGTAGAGAACAAAGTTCGGATGAGATCACTCTCTTGTGGCCGTTGAAATCTCCGACAGGATAACTTGTCTTAGCGGCGATAAGCGAACTATATATAACTTACCAGCTTCACGCGTTTATCTTCCATTTATTTTGTTCAAAATATATTTATTGAGAGGAATTACAGCTTTTTGATGAAGAGGGGTATTTGATTGTCATCAAGTTGGCGTTGAATCGTGATAGTGATATCAACGTTGTCAAACAGCGATAACTGAAAATAATGTGAATGGTAATAACTCGTGCAAAGTTTTATTTTTAACGCAAAATTTTGGCTACAATGTATGCTAAATCTCCATGAAACGATGACTACTCATTCTTAATCTTAATACTCATCAGAACCGAAGTTTTCCGTTCTGAATAAAGAAAATCCAGAATCAAATGATTAACTTTAATAGAATCATCAGCCTGTTTATGTCAATTATATCGCATTTAAAATGAATGTTTAAATTAATGGAAGTAATTATGAATTTACTCGCCACAGATCTTGTCAGCGCAATCTGAAACATATGATTGAATACACCATGTAATGTCCTTCCCATATATAATAGAAATGGCAACGGGGCACAAAATAAACCAAACTGCCTTGTTGAATAATTTATCAACTGGATTCTAATAAATTTTTTAAATTATATTTATACTGATACACTGCAATACTTATTTCATTACAGGTCGACATATTATTTCTGTACTAAATACAGCCCTGAATTGACTTATTCAATTCTAAATGACAGAAAAAGCGTGAAGCAAAATAACATTTTATTGTAATATACGTAGCCTTCATTAAGTGGTTCAAAACATAGATGCTATATATCTTCTAAATTTAAGCACCATATTATAATTTCAAGGCAATTAATCTAGATGATATCAATGTGGATTTAAAAAATTATTGGTTGACTGCATTATTGTGATGCTCAGCGAATAATAAAGCGTTATTTTGATTCAGAAAAGCTCCAACATACAACTTTATTGAAAATAAATTTCACGCAAACACGATGAAGCACCGCTGAATGATTAAAGCACTGCCGCTATCACATGTTACCAATTTCAACTTAACACACCTTTACCAGAGCCGAGCATGAGAACAAGTGCAAAAAATCAATGCGAGCGACTGAACACGCGCATCAACAACGCAGCCTCAGCTCGGGGGCACTGAAGTAAGCTAGGCTAGTATGCGCTCGGTACGGCACCCGGAGAGGTACTATCATATACCACCGCCTCCCGGGCTCACGCCGGCAACCTCGTGCCCTCACTCTAACTCTCTCTCCGGCTCTTTTTTTCCTCTTTTTCTCTTGTGCTGCTGGTTGGGTTGTCTGGAGCGTCCGTCCGTACGTTCAGGCTCCAGAGTCATGCATGGAACAATGCCTTGCTTGCCTTCGCGGTCATGAGACAAACGAGCAGGTCGAGTTTTTGTTCTGAAACGTAAAGCTGATTAAGAAAACGTATCCTTCTTTACTATATATGATAAAATTTGAATATCAGGCCTTTTGTTTCATGATTTCAGATCTTCCGTGTAGTGTTTTTTTCATGAATTATATCATACATACTCGCATCACATTTATTTCCGCATTATTTGATTGTTATTTGAATATGGAAGCTGTTTAACTAGAAACAAATACACTGAAAAATGTGTGCAATAATCTGCAAAAAAAACTTGCGGAAGGCACGGCATAAAATACAACCGCAGGGTCGAATGAAATGCACCGAAAAAATTCCAATAACTATGTATTACATTTTCCCAGTGGATTGCGGTATATTAAGTTTCTAAGTCAAGACATGAAGACGCAACAATGAAAATGTAGCCACCAGTGTTGATACGGAGACCCACCCAAGCCGCTGGAAGAGAGAATAACGTCGCCCGCCTCTCCACCCTGCTTAGCATAACTTGTTGCTCATTCCACCCACTCGCTTCAATGCACCCAGCACGACGCTCCAGCAGCGACGAGCCTTCCACCTACCGCTCCTCAGCGGTGTGTCGTCTTCACTCCTGTTATTCTGATGATTAAACCGTTTTATATTCGTGATGTATTGTTCAATTATTTAATTAGTAATTCCTGCTTGAGAATTGTTTCGACATACAACGGGGTAGTATAGCCTGTGATCTTGTTAGGAGATTTGGTGATTATTTGTCGAAGCTGGTAATGTCTAAACTGCATTCTTAGATTTTCACTAAATTTTAACCAAAAATGAATACAAAACCTGAATATAAAATTTTGGCGATCACGATTTGGTCACGACCATAAGCGTCCCAGATTTCCATGATCGAATTATACCTACGAACGCTGATGAATTTCCGGATAATTATGTTCATATGTTAATCTAGAATTCTTCATCATCTATATATATGTCCGCTCCTCTACTGCCTCGTAAGTGCCCAGACTTAGAAAAATTGGAAAATCTGTAGACAAAATTCATAAGATTTATTTTTACATGACTAAAAAAATTATAAATGATATCCTGTTCGTTTGTATGAAAGAGTTATTCAGTGTCAGCAACCCGAAGGGATACTGCGGCTCATCGAATGTCATAATGATAATGCAATGTTGCATGCACAAAGCTCATTGACATAATTTTACAACTTTTACACAGCAACTGATAAGAAATGAAAGAAATCATTACTTCTTTTACTTCACTTAGTAAAAATATGTTCGAGTACTCGGGGGTATTCATGAAAATTATAGAATAAAATGTTGGCACTCACTGATGGAATAAACACAGATTTTCTCAAAACAGCTGAAAATGTTTTTCTCCACCACGGAAATTAAATTAATAATTATTAACTCGCATGAAAGCTTACCTTGGCCCCAACGCTTGCATTTGTATGGGGTACGTAGTCTGCAATGAAACTGGAATCGATAAGCACTATCCTGGTGTAAGCACCAAGCTGTTAAAGACTGACAATGTAATTGCCAGGTAGACTGGATACAAACACACAATTACCAATTGCTAATTCAAAGTCTTCAGTCCCGACATAACGTCAAGGCAAGTATTTTACTTAAAGAGAATGTTCTGTCGATTTAGCACGCCTCCAACGATTTTAAGGCTTTCCTTTTACGATAACGTTGTGCAAGAGCTTTTAAGACCAACCATAGATTTTAGACTTCTTTACTTGAAAAACAAATTTATTCTGCGATGATATTGCTGGAAAATTCACCGGATAATTTTATCATTATTTCTTTTCTTCCTCTCCAACACATACCGCTTTCTCCAATAAATGCAATATCGAAGACTTCAGTACTGTTTTTTTACTCAAATTGTTGAACAGAATTACGTGATTTTATAAAAAGAATTCAATATTCTTCAGAAATGTTAAAAAGTAATTTGCCTTATTTCTTAAATCGAGGGAAAAATTAGATAATACTACCTACTTATGCATTTTCAATGTTAAAAAGTGACGAGATCAAATAAAACTTCAGCTAAAATGGCTGAATTGGAATCAAATTATAATCAGGATTAAACACAACAAGAGTCTACAAATAACTTCGATTTACAACACTTCTCTTTAACTTCACTTCTTGTCTGTCTGTCTGTCTGCTACAAATCTTGTAATCAAAATTTAATACACTTCTACTTATCCTATCGATCTGAAATTTTGCCAACTTGTGTAAAGTTGGAGACAATGCATGAATCAAATGTCAAAATAAATGATTTTAGAAATTAAAAAAAAATTTTTTTCAATATTAAGAAATTCATTGTACATCTGTAAGATTGGAGATACTGGATTCTTTGGAAGTGTTGTCTTTAAAAAGTAATTTTTAAACGTATATTATTTATATTCATGACTGCATACATCGCTGTCTGCACAAAAGTGAACAAAAAATAGACCTTGTGCTCCTACCTACACAGTGAGCTCTTCTCTTCGTCAGTCATATGTCGTCATGACGTGGATTTACGTCGAGCAGCCCACGCATGCAGCGAATTTACAAATAATTTATACTGCAACACGAAGAAGATGGTAAGTTCATTTAAATTTACCATAGAGTTTACTCGAATATGCACAGAATTGTATACGACTGCCCTCGCACGAAACGATTTTCTGATTCATGAGCCTTATTTCATGAGTTGGATTCTTAATTCAAACTTAAATGAGGGTTTTTAAAGTTGGCGAGCTTGATAACACTGAGGCCATATGTCGGAGAGCCAGTTACTTTAAACCACACCTCAATGTAAAAAGTAAGAAATTAGAAATTAGTATGTGAATGAAATACTAGAAAATGATATGATATAGAAAACAGGCCCGGATACATCGACTTGGCCACACTTGAATGTCACATGCCTGACCATCAATAATTTTCAATTTTTCGGCCTTTTAAGTCATTCTCATAAAGTTCAGTAGATATTATTTTTCATTGAAACTTGACTGATGACTAAGATTTAACCAACGACTAACTCGACAAAATTTTATGCTAATTACCCATGCATGCTCCGCCAAAATTGATCTCGAACTTTGGTTCCCTAACTCCACGCGAACTGATCAGTTGGGCAATCCAATAAACTCCGTAAAGTTTAGAGAGGTCGTTAGCGGGACTTGGACGTCAGCAACTTGCTCATATCGAGAAGCCAGTGCCATCACACCCTATTATATATATAGCGTGCCAGTGCAGAACACCCTCTTATGTATATAGCGTGCCAGTGCCATCACACCCTCTTGACTGATCGGGTCCATAAAGCGCCTAACCGCAAGCCTCCCTTTAGCTCTGCTCCG